AAGAGATCACAGAAAGAATTTCACTACTGAAGCAAGAAGACGATAACCAAGACATTTTTGTTCCCTTCAAATAATGTACTTTATATAATATATTTCTATATGCATGTGCAATTTTTATAAAATAAAAACTGCAAACACGTGAAAATGGTAAGATTTTAACATGAATTTTTATATGGTTTATTGTATTATTTTTGCTGATTTTTTAGGTCTGGAACCAATGTTCTATTTTCCCATAGATATAGTATATTATTTGTTCACACGAATTTTTTTTACATGCATTCTTTCGGGAACGTATCTAACAGATACTATCTATCGTACAAAAACAGAGCTGTGTGTATTATGTATTCCGATTTTATCTATCCGTTTCCATACACGGTGAGATTTACCTCGAGGCCTGGCCTCGCGAGGTTGTCTCACATTAGGGGAGCTGGGTCTCCCGAAGCTCCCTTGTAATCTGTAGTAGGATGCTAGGCCGTGGCGAATGCAGGGGCGTGAGTGAGAACGCTGAGAAAGAATCACAGAGTTGAGGCGTTTAACGCTATCTCATAATATTCACATACTCTTATTGTTTGGAATAATGTTATCCATACCATCATATATTAGTTACAAAAAATGATCCTTTACAATTAAAATGAAATAAAGGTCAAGTTCGTATCTTTAATAATTGCAGAGATAAATATTCTTTCGCAAAGCTAGTTTTCGTAAAAATCGGTGATAATTTCAAAATTTGAGGATCGGCATCTTTTAAACATTTTCAAAATCAGCGAAATTATAACTTAAACCCTATTTTCACATGGATTTTCTCATTAAGTGCATTCTCTAACTCTACAAGTACTCGTGGGATTTCAAAACCAGCTTGTATAATCCAAGTATTTACTTTGTACATATGAAAAATAAAACATCGACTTTTTTAAGTAGTAATCGAATCCCTGAAGTGAAACTTTTGTACTGGAAACGACTTGGATTCGTGAGTACGTATTGAACTTGATCCCATCACTAATTGTTCCGTATAATCTCGTCCCCAAGAACAATTATCAGATTACCCACTCCTTAACTACACCGTTAACTGACCCTCGATTTAAGCTAACATCGCATAATGTCTCTCCCTATCGACTATTAATAAAATGTTAATAAACACTGTTTACACGTTAAAGGGAATCTATGGTTTTATGAAGAAGGAACACAAGTATTAGACATGAAACAAAGGTTATTTAAAATTTAGATACAAAGATGTGAATCAGAGACTCTTTACACACATTTAAATGCCTTGAAAGTGATGGAACATGTACATTATTTGAAGATATTAGTACATACAATAACATTAGCAATATTAAGAGATTTATACGCCTGTAATATATATTCGCAGATAGTTGAAAGTGAAGGTTTATTATCATTACTGCTCATGACAGTCTAGGACATTTTACAAATTTATTTCACAAACGATGGCAGGTTCATTGCTCTTCATTGCAACACGATTTAAAGATACTTACACAGAATAATTTTGAGTGCCACGGATTCTAAAAACTGAAACGATTATGTTCTATAACAGTAACAAAGTGCAACCATATCACCGAAATGAATTTCAATTCCCTCGAATACTCGATGCAGTGTTATTTGCGTTATTTGCAACAGAGTACACAGGATGTCATGAAATAAAATCAAGAATAAAGAATAAAGTTTTTTAAAATTATGTTTGTGTTCGGAAAAATCGATTTTACAAATGTACGCTGTACATTGACGAAATATACAATAGAATGTGACAGAACAATACCTTGGCTACCGCCATGACCAGACGTAACGCCTCTTGGTATATATTTATAGAATCATATAAAATCAATAATCTATTCCGAAAACATAACTGGTATTGAACACTTGATACGTTGAACACCACGTCACACAGTGGGCCAGATCGAAGAATTAGCTGTTCACAACTGCTTTAACGTTATTTCAAAATATATATAGGTCGTTGAATTCGTCGTGACGTCAGCTATAATATTATTAAGTAAAAAATATATAGTGACCATAAAAAAATCAAGGTAACCTTATTTTTTATTTAAACAAAATTTTTTTTAATTTTTTATATTGGAATTTGTAGAACAAGAAGTGATGATTAATCTTTGTTGGAAACATTTTTTTGTCAGAGTATCGAAAATGCCTCAAAAATCGTGATGACGTGTGAATAATGAATTATAATTGAAAACTAGCTGTTCAAGCTTTTCAAACAAATAGAGTAATCCATGATTCTTAAATCAATGAATTTTCTTACATTTAATCAGACAAGAAGAATATGTGATTCTTTTCTTCTTGAAAAAATTTAAAATATTCAAACAAGAATAAATGTTATATTTTAACAAATTAGTGAATATAATAAATTAACCATACGAATTTTCGGCTTAGAAAGAAAAAAAGCATTGCCATTTTTATTATTCTTTATTAATAAACTTTTATTTATTATTTGTCTATTAATAAAGAAGAATCTATGCAATTATTCTTATTAACAAAGATAATCAACTTTTTACTAGAGCTTTATAATGTATTAATTTATGTATCTAAAATTTGTTATCTATAATGAATCATCATCGTCTTGGAAGTCTTCTTTTAACATTAATCTGTGTAAGTAGTGGTCTGCACCGGGTCTCGTGCAACGCGACTCGCCGCTGAAGTGCGAGTCACGCAACGCTTTAAACAATAATAACTTATGGGGTGGGACGATGGGGGAAATGAATCTTGCATGATTTTATAGAGAAACAACACCTGAAGATATTCCACTTTGATAGAACGCATAACTCTATAAAACTTTAAAGATACCCCTGTCAAAGATGAAAAACTTCAACGATTCTCTTTACTTCACTTAGTATTATTGTTTTAAACAAATTATGAACAATAACTTTTTAATCCAGGTGCCTTCTCAATATAGACATATACTATTCATAAACAGAAAACATGGGCACATAATATTTGATAGGTTATCCGAGGCATCAATACAAAAAAAAGTAATTTTTTCGGTGAGAAATGGTATTTATAAAAGTCTGATCTTTAAATGCTTGTTTTAACTACAATTTTTAATATATCTCATTACTTTTAACGTTTTCGAATGTGATACACATTTAGAAAGCAATATACATTCGTTAAACATCGATATGAGGAAATTGATTTTTTGGCAAATCAACAGATAACTGTTCAATCTGGCCCACTGTGCGTCACCCGCATGTAGATGATGTAATGGATAAGATACGGCAAGGGCCCCGTCTAAGTTGACACTTCTCTTCGCCTAATTAGCTGGACTTTACAAATAATTCGCAAGAGTTTTTAATACTAAGAAAAGTATTTAATAATAACAGCACATAAAACTATATAGAAGTGCTTGTAAGTAATTTAAACGTAAAAATATATATAATGTTACAGTTCTATTTTATGATATTCTTCGAAAGAAGTTAAGCAAAGTTATGGCATTTCAGGGCTTAGTAAGGCAATAAGTTCCAGTTTTTTTACATTTCTTTTAGCTGTTTATTGATCTAGAGTTTGCCTACTTGTCTCGTAACAAAAAACACACATTCATCTAATTGTTTTTCTTGTAGATTTTCTTCTAACTATCAAATTGTGTGATATACTCCGATACATAATACCAGCGCTATTATTTTGAGGACATAATTATGTGGCTATAAGTTCCCTAAACCTTGTGGTATGTATTTTTTCCATCGCCACGGGACTCGGAAAAACTCAAGATTATACCTCCTTCAGGAGACGACCATTCGCCGAAAACCATAATGCCGTAAATTTCCGAATTATAACAAAATTGCCACCGATGCATCGGAAACAAAGAACAGAGTTGGAAACTCTGTGATTCATATAATCACTATTTCCGTAATTTTATTTATGTTCATATTTCGAGTTAAGTTTCATAAATATTCGCAATTCCCGTGTCGATTTCATTATATTGTAATAATGTACCCCAGTTTTAGTAATTATAAAATTGCGATACACTAACAAAGAATGTTAAACACCTGGTACTAAAAACAATGAAAATACATTGAAGTAATTTGTATTTATTATAAAGAACCAAATTTTCATCTCATTTCATTTACATTCTTCAGTTAAATAATTTTCGATTATAGAATTAATGTGCATAAACGACAGGACATCTGAAGTCAATGCGTAGTCAACGATGCCACGTTTATTCTAAAAATAATTTAATGGAATCACTTCTTGCAAGCTCATTCAATTAGAGATAAAGATCTGATGAAAAGTTTTTATTTTCTTCGTCTTGGTGTAATGACTAATTTATTCTATAGTATAATATTAAAATAAATTGCTATTTTCTAGAACATCCAAGATAACGTAAATAAATAACAATCTTCAACATAATAATCTTTACACAATGTATACAGCAATAAACACAAATTCATCGATCTATTCCTGTGTATGCATAATATACACATGTACAGATTTTATATTTATAATTGTGCTATAATGTTTTTCAAATACGAAGAACGTACGTTTCGGCCGTTCGGTACCCGCATGAGCAAACTCGGCTACCACTAGGGGAAAAAATGATTTAAGGGAAAGACCTCCTACCACTTGGTCTCGGAGTTACTGAAATTTATGCCAAATTCATATTCGGTTTAACATTTATTTCAGTATTTGAAAAACTGGGTAAAAATTATAGGACTTTCGGGACGGACGTTTCTGGAACGTCCGAAATTTAAGTCTTACAAACATCCTAGAGATCTCCAAAATGAACGTAGGACATTCGAAGATAAACTGGACATGGAACAAACATCCGTTGGATGTACTCATGAAAATTTCAAGCAAAATAATTATACAATAAATTGAATTTATTTATTAGATAAATATATTGAAAAAAGAAGTGTAGGAAAATATGACGAATGCGTTAAAGTACCTTTTGTAAAATTTTATTTTGCCAAGAAATTTGAAATGAAAAATATAGAAAAGTATCGAAGAAAGTGAAACACTTAAAAATGGAAATTTTTCTGTTACAGAGTCGTATATTGGAGGATGCTTCCATTATGTGCAATTCTTGGTCACCAAGGCATAACGTGAGTACAGAATTACAATATTACCTACTCCTTTTTCTTGAATCATATTCATAATGTGCTAATAATCACATTTTTGAAATATTTGAGGAAAATAACATCTAATGAGGAGAACTGAATTCAATATCTATTGTAACAATAACTGATGCAACCCATTTGGATTTATATAGTTAATGATAATAGTGTCTAGAAGGTATTTTTATCATTTTATCGTTTTTTGCATAAATCCGTGACAAAATTACTGACTGAGTTTGAAAAAATTATATATTCACCAATTATGCGTAAGTACATGTTACTGAGAAATATATTACCACTCAAAAACGTACGTAATTATATATTTGATAGAAAAGAAATTAATTTTACTTGCTATAAGAAAATATGGACTTACAGATTAAAGTGGTACAAGTACAATAAGAAGAAAGTGTAGTAAATTGAGAATGATAGCTACATATGAATGAATTATATGATATTTTCTCCTATCGATTTCCTTATTAAACGCAGATATAAGAAATAATCGAATGTGCCTTTGAACTATATACGTATGTATACTGTGTACTCGTTAGAATTACAGCCTATCTTATTATGTAGTCGTTAAAAGAATTGCATTTATTAGGTATATAAATAGATAATCCATTACTTTTTTTTAATCAATTAGTAACATAGTTTAAATTCGGAACATCTTCTTGCCCATTTTCTATTTAAAAATGGTGACGAGTGTTAAAAGAAGAGGAATAAATGTTATTGGTACTTGCTCGTGCACCTAACACTCAACTACATTACCAAAATCATAAGTGTGAAAAAACACCATGTTTACCTTCTTAAATTGATGTTTAAAAGTACGTCCTTCAGCCAGAATTTAGAGATTTACTCGGTCTCTAAATGACCTTATCAACCCTTTCTAGCATTTCTTTCAAAGTTTGTTAACTGACCATCCATATAGGCATAAGATAGTAGATGGTTTTTGGCATAAATAGCTTGATTTTTTTTTTAACAAGGAATGACGAACTACATCGATTAATGCATTAGAAAATATGATTCCATTAAGGAAAAAGCAAATTTGATCGTTATAGGGCCTCTACGCGTCCACTTATGAAAAAACAACATACTGACACCTGACATTACGTTATTTACCCCCTCAAAACCATTCAATGATTATCTCAAACTTTTTTCTATATCATCAACGGTTTCGAAGATATTCGTGGAGATTGATTTAAATAATATATTATAAAACAAGACTTACAGTACACAGGGACGTATTTAGGTAAATTCAATATTACCTCGCCGTGGAAGTAATAACTGATTTCTTACTATTACAATAAAATGAAGACAAACAAGTCAAAATTATAAAATGAATCTTATGTAGTATAACAGTGCAGGTATAACACACCTAACTATAGAGGGTGGGACAATAACTATGTCCACTTTGAATATTGCCGTTATTTGTAATAATATGAAAAAATGTTATGTACAAAACTTACACGGTATAGAGGGGGGCATATTGTGACACAACATTTTCTGCGTAAGTAAAGGCGTAGAGAAGGTTTCAAGGTCATCTCTATTTTTTTTAACGGAACGCTATGTTTTTTTTATCGCGATGTGATAGCCACTGTTGAGACGACTTCAGCGGGCTATCATTGAAGGTCATGCAAGGTCAAATGTGGTAGTAAAATAAACTTTCTTACATTACAGGAGATGCTCGAAGTGGTGACCATTTGCGTCAATGCAAAGTTGCAATCTTCGTATCGCTGCATCACGTGCATGTCTTATCGTTTGTGAACTTATTCTAGCACATGCTGTATTATTTCATATACCCTCACTTTTACATAAACGAATGGTCTTGTAACATTGTTTAGTTTAAGGCAATACATCGCGTGTATCTAGAAATAGAAAAATCTCATAGGTTCGTAACATTAACATGAATCGGTAGTCAGTCTCGGTCGATTGCTAAGTCAAGTAACTGAGTGATCATCAAAATGAAGTTTTCTTTTGAAGAGCAAGTGGATATGATCCTCATTTATTGAGAAATGCGTCAAAATTCGATAAGAGCTCAACCCTTGTATGCTGAACGATATCCAAACCGAACATATCCTTCGCACCGAACATTTCAAACATTGTGCAAAAAATTGAAGTTTTGTCTATAACATTTTTTCATATTATTACAAATAACGGCAATGTACAAAGTGAACATAGTTATGGCCCCACCCTGTATATATCAGTGACAGAAAATGTAGCAATGACGATGATGGCAGTGTTATTAATATAAATAATCTATTATATTAGATTCGTACGAGATAGGGAACAACACTGGGAGGGTTCAGTACTTTCCAGTGTGTATTTTAATATTAACTGATCTGACTTACCTTAGGGTATAGATCTGGCGTATCGTGTGTCCTTGAAGGCGACACTAAATACGATATTTTGCTTACTGAAAAATCTAGTTATTCGGTGGTTAGTCCAAAGTCCCTTGGAACATATGATAGCTCTCATGGAATTGCAACACAAATAAAGACACAAAATGTTCAGTCTGTTCAGTAGCTTAGACTCCCAAATTACACTAAATCTTTTGAAAACTACACACTAATACCATATTACCCCGAAAATGTAACTAATGGTAAATATGAAATATAACAATCTGCTTCTTAGATCAAGTTTTTTATGTACATGTACATAAACATAAAGCTACCATCTTCTCGATTGTGCTATGAATAATAGATCGTCATAACTAGACTGCGGATTTTATGCATTTATAACCTATAAGTCTCTGTGAAATACAATGAAGGACAAAACTTCCGTCAGATGCAACCAGTTTTCTATTTTCTTTTCAACCCAATAAGGTACTTAAAGGAAGAAAGAACTTCTTAACTTTGCCTTTGTCTTTATGAAGAACCTTATAAAATGTGATTTTGCATAAAAATCCGCAATCTAGTCATAACACAGTAGAATTTATAAAAATAAAACATGGAAAAAAGTAAGACCTTGAGTTTCTCAGCTGTATCAAATGTATGAATTTTTGATCCACTATTTACAACCACATTTACTATCTACTTAAAAAAAAAATAAAAATCTGATCTGCCTCACCAATATACACTATTTTTTCTAACAAACGTGTCATACGAGGATACAAGGTATACAAATTGATAAAACGTATTTGTATATCGGAATTAAATCAACATCAAAAGTGTTAAAGGAAAGAAATGATACCCGTATCGACCAAGGACAATTAAAGTAATGAATTCATGCGAAAAAGAGAAGGCTCAGCATTGTAGACGACGGAGGAGAAAGAGAATAACGCCAAACTCTGTTGCTTTATACGATATGTTCCATAATATTTACGGTTTACGAAGCCGCATAGTTACGGTGGCCTGGCTAACATAAACTCGCTAACTCGCGGTTACGATTATGGAAAGTAGTAAATTGATTATTTAGATATACGATGAGGTGATGCGAGATAGTTTGAGTGCCATAAAAAGAGCCATGCGTCGCTTACGGTTTCCGCAAATACAGCAAACAGTGGATACTGCTTTGAAATGGGTGACCTGCACATACTATTGTTTACAAGTACAATGTCTGTTGACACAAATAATTCACGTATTTTGGCACATGAAACAGTTTCTACGAAAAAATTAAATTCGCAATAAAAATATTATTTATTGTCTGGACAAATTCCTTCAACCCCACATTATAATTCACTATTTACTGTGGAAGAAAAAACCTGTAAATCTCCATTGCATGTCAAAGTTTCCACAAAATCCTTAGTTTTCAATACATGTAAATTAATTTCAATTATCCTTTAAGTATGATATTAATAAATATACGTAGATATGTCGAAAGCACACGTATCTTTTTATGCATCTTTAGATTCCATTAACTTTAGCGAAATTAGAAAAATTATAGTGCGCAATATTATTGTGTAATATTATTGCAATAATTTGTGTAATTTGTGTAGCAATGAAAATAATTTGCAATTAGTAAAAATATTTTCTGAACTTACGAATATTTAGAAAGCAACATCGGTGACCTGAAAATTCCAGTTTTTTTAAACAGTATACGTTTGCAAAGGACCTCAGTAGAAATACCAGGCAGTTTTTTCACTATTTTCTGGTTCTTCAGACTTATTCGGTTCTTCCCGTTAAATATTAATGTGTGGTTTCCTGTTTTCTTGTATATTTTAATAAGTACTGCAGTAGATATAAAAAAATTGTTGCAATGAAAATTCAACGGCTCTTTATGTTCTATAAAACGACGGCAATGAAGTTGTTAAAAATTTGTACATTTATTTATTAATTTATTTAGACAAGAAATTTTCAACTGTCATTACGCATTTTATAGAGCATAAAATGCCATTACATTTTTATCCCAGCAATTTTTTTATATGTATCTACTACACTTTTCAAGATATACAGAAAAGTAGTAAAATCTATCTACTTTTGAAATAGTTGCACTTTTTGCGTCATATTATGTACATTTATCATCTTCCATTATTTACTTTTAAAGATACAATTTATTATATTTATTATAAAGGCCTTTTACCTGAATTTTTGAAATAAGCAATGTTTATAAGTTTGATATTACACAATAAAATTCATGGTTCATGATTTATAAATATTTTTCTTTATTAGTTTCCTGTTTTCCATGAAATACCTGCAAGACAATTTTATTATTTACAATGTTACGAATTAAGAATATTTCAAGTTTCGTTCATGGACTCATCATGTGTTATATGGAATACTTGGAATTGAACTTACCTACCCAAATCTGCATTTCCCAGAAAATCGATTTTCACAGTGCGTCAGATACATACATATATGATAATAAATACGATTTAGGTGATATCAAATACAAGTAGAATAAGTAAAAAATCTGAAAAATGTTTATACGAGTTTTCGTTTTCAAGAGAATTAATTTAGAAAATTCATCAATTAGGCTTACGACTAAATGTAATTTCCCTACCATGTTGTTTCATAAAGGATTATTTCTACTTGTGTTAATATATTTTACCAAAA